ACCAATGTTCGATTGCTGTGAGTCCAAGATCATGTGGGATACTTGTATACAAGCTGATGACGTCGAATGATACCAATATCGTTTTCTCGTTTATATTTGTAGGTATTTTGTTCAGAAAATCCATACTGTCCCGTATAAAACTTGGTACATGTTGGCATAATGGTTTTAAAATCAAATCGACAAAATTGCTTAGTCTATGTGTGGGCGATATAGGTCCAGCTACTATAGGTCTCATCTTTAAGTCCGCTGGTGGTTCCAGTTTGATATAATCATTGTTTTGGTCGGTGACAGCATCTGTTATGGTTTTTGATTTGTGTATTTTCGGTAATCCATAGAAATTTGATGTTTTCATTAGGAAATTTGTGATGTACTCTTTCTCGTTCTCAGTAATGAAGTTTCCAAAGTTTTAATAAGTCTCTTAATCTTTCGTAAAATATATCGTAAAACATATATATATATATATATATATATATATATATATATATATATATATATATATATATATATATATATATATATATATATATATATATATATAAATATTAAAGATAAAATAAACCTGGTTTACTTCATAACAATTTATTCACTACAAACTTGATTTGTATGACAAGCAATGCTTGCCACACTCATGAATTGCTTGTCATACGAAACAAGTTTGTAGTGAATAAAATCTAATGAAGTAAACCAGGTTTATTTTATCGTTAATATCTTTATTAGCTGTTCTATACTTCGGTATATCGAGCACTCTACTCATATATGATTCTAAATACATATTTTATATATATATATATATATATATATATATATATATATATATATATATATATATATATATATATATATATATATATATATATATACATATACATATTGTAATTTGAGTGCAATTAATGATTAACACTAAACTCGTAATGTTTGAAAATGGGCCAAACTGCACTTTCCTCGGCAGGCGAGTGCAAATTTGGCACGTTTTTCAAATATCACGAGTACTGTTAATCATTAATTGCCCGACTTCCCGTGTGGTTATTTATTTATTATATGAAATATATTACACGACAAAATTGCTTGCTTTAAATTAAAATTCAACGGCATTTTTTCAAGTGTTTTTAATTATTTTGTAAGCAATTTAGTTTAAACAAACTTGGGTAATGATTATAAACTCATAAAGGCATATAACTTAAACTACAACACAAGATTCGATCTCAAACAAAATATTTTATAGTAAAACTTACATAGTCACATTTCGATGCATGTCTGCAGATTGTACTATTACGCTCCTTCACTTCGGTGTTGTTGAGCACTCTATTGACAATTTTTTTTTTCGTATGGCAAACTAGGCATGTCATACGAAAGGTAATCAATTTAACACATAACGTTTTGACTTTATTAAGATAATAAAGTCGAAACGTCATGTGTTGAATTGATTACCTTGAGTAAGAAATTAGTCAGGTGTATACGTCTTTATACCAGTAAATGAACACTTTAACAAAAGACCATTGTTATGCAAACTATATAAAGATTTTTATCTAAAGATTTTTGTGTAAAGATTTTTATATAAAGATTTTTATATAAAGATTTTTACATAAACATTTGTAAATAAAGATTTTTATATAAAGATTTGACTTATTATGCAAACGTTTTTGAAGCCATTTAATTTAAAAAACTAGCAGGTCGTGTTTTATTAGGTCTAAAGCCACTCGCGCTGCGCGCTCGTGACTGTAAACCTAATAAAACAATCCTGCTCGTTTTTTAGATAGTTCATATATATATATTATGGTCATGTCTATAATTCACTCCCAGCCAGACGATAATGGACAGAAACTGGTCTGAAACGAGATGCCTAGGACAATTAAAGTTGCTACGATCGAAACATGCCCGTGAGTTTAATTCAAAGAAACGTGGCATAAATAAACTAGAAATACATGCATGCAACAACCTTTTGCATGAAGTATTTCGCCAACACTGAACGCAGGCTCGCGTTGCTCACGTCATGTAATTATGTTAGCCATGACAACTTGATAATTGTTTCTTTTAAATTTTTTGTACAAAACTGCAAAAAATAAATTATATATATATATATATAAAAAAAAGTACTCCTGTTTGATTCGTAATAACATCTAAACAAGTATAGCTTTTAAAGAGAAATAACTTGCATCAAATAGAGGAAGGACTAACTTAGACTTTGATATATTACAGTTGTATTTCACTTAAAAATTCACGGAGATATTAATCTTTAAATTCGGGAGGATATTTCTGGATGTGTCTGAAATATTCAAAAATCGGCGTATCAAATATTAATCAAGATTTGCCCGACTGAAACATGCACTATTACCAGTAAATAAATGACACTTGACAAATTGTTTATTATGAAACAAAGTATTATTATATCTACAAAATACAAGCAAGATTCATTCGTCCGAAATTCGCGTGTGTTCCTAGCACGAATACGTTTCCTTATTTCATGAGACCGCTGCATCGCGAAGGATCGTCATTGGATCGTTCGTAGTTCTGAATTAGGGCATGCTGTCACAACGGAATTGAGAAGCTCTTCTAACTTCTGCAACGTTCTGAAATCTTGTTAAGAACACCCAAACTCTTTTGCCGTTTCTTAATCTTGGCAAGTTCATGGAGTAAACTGAGGATTATATGAAACACAATCAAACCATACAACTCCATAAGACATAACAATTAAGCAACTCCCCAGAGACATGCAACATTTTTGGAACAAAACGTAACAAAATAGTAGCGTTGATACAGTGATGTGTATTTGCAAAAAGCAATATTATTTCCTTCAATAAAGAATATTCATCCTGCTCTAACCGAGAAATAATCTACTCAGTCTGTTTGAACCCATTAACAACATAAAAAAATTAGGCTATTTAAGAATACGAAAAATTTAAGCGCCTGCCTTCCATGATCAGTCTTTCATGTACATTTAAGTTTGCAAAGACCTAATATTAAATACTTGCATAATTTCGAACGTTCATATTTCAGGAAACAATGAGCTAAGACTTACATGTAAGATGTCTAAATCTACGCCATATCCCTTACAAACCTTAACGATAATTCGCTGAAATACAAGTTAGCCTAATATGTCAATATTTGATATGCCGATTGTCGCTAATTTTAGACACATTCCAAAATATGCTCCCCATTTTTAACATTAATAT